TTGGTGAAGGAACGTAAGGAAGCAAAACCTAATGACTAAAACTGTGGTGATATATTTTAGTTGTGGGAACTGAAGGAAAATATGATGGCTAGAGCTGTGGACCCAAATTTTGGTGACGCAAAATTTTGGGAACACAGCCATAGGACTCAAACTGTGGACATTTTTTTGAGTGAGGGAGTTGAAGAAAACAATGATGGCTAAATCTGTGGACAGCTTTTGTGGTGAAGGAAATTAAGGAAGTAAAGCCTAATGACTAAAACTGTGGACAAAATTTTCGGTGAGGGAACTGAAGTAAAAATACGGATGAATAAAACTGTTGACAAAATTTTTGGTGAAGGAAATTGAAGAAGTAAAGCCTGAGTTTTTTCAATATTTCAATATAGTTATTGTTCATATTTAATGAACTAATATATTGCAAGTCTTTTTTAACAATATCATCTACAATACCCAAATTCAGAGTCACAGTGCCTAGATCAATTTTCAATTAAAACTTTCATAACTAGGTTTTAGGACACGAATTCAGCAAATAACAATAATCATATTGATAAAATATTCAGTAAGACAATTCTAAATACATGTAAATTGTTCAATAGTCTTTACTATATCTAGATACAATAAGAACACATCAAGAGAATCTTTTACCTCTTGAAACAGACTTATTCGATATTCTTTTTGTTACTATCTATTGTAAGCCTTCCAATGGCTTCATAGATTCAATGACTTGTGTGGTTTTGTATTGCAAACCTTTCAATGGCTTTTGAATTGAAAGCATTTCATTAGCTTCAGATTTGTAAGCCTTTTTATGGCTGTTATACTGCAAGCGTTTCAAGTGCTTTTGCATTTCAAGCCTCTCAGTGGCTTTCGGTTGCAAAATATTGCAAGCCTTTTAATGGCTTTCAGACTGTAAGCCTAAGTGGTTTTGTTTTGTGAATGGAAGGTTAGTGCTCACTGGTTTTGTAATGCTTATATGCATGTATTCTCAAGGGTGTCAAACACCAGAACTTCAAAAAACTGAAGTACTGATAATGACAATCACCTTAATCGCGCAAGTAAACTAAATATACGCGTACCAAAAAAACAAATCTTAGTGTCTATCACACCAGCTCAAGCAAAAACAATGCAAGTAAATGTTTTACACCACTGTATATAGGCACACTGCCTTACACCATTTCAATTGACTCTTTTGTAAGAAGTCAACGCAAGTGCGATTGCTTTTTGAAAACAATTCCAATGAGCATTGCAGCCATGTGACACTGCATGCATTGACGCTGCGCATTGCGTGCACTGAAAGAAGCAGCTGCTCAGGCTTTGCCACAGCAAGCTCTCCTTGGCCTTTTCATTGCAAGCTTCACTTTGGCTTTTGCAAGCCTCTATTGGTTTCGTTGCAGCAAGCAGGTTGGCTTTCTCATCATGACAAGCATCACATGTGGGTGTGTCAGTGCAAACTTGGTTGCCTTGTTACGGCAATTGCTTTGCATTGTCATTGCAAGTTTTTTTGAGCTTTGCCACTGCAAGTCTTGTTGGCCTTGCTATTTATTGCAAGCCTTAGTTGACTTTGGCATGGCAAGCTGTCAGAACCATTGCAAGCCTTCGTTGGAAAATGTTATTGCCAGCATTGTTGTTTTTTATTTCAAGATGTCCTTTTCTTTGCACCGAAAAATTTGGTTTGCTTCTTTTAGGCGAAAAGCTTCAACTGCCTTATGGCACTGCAAGCTCTCAAGCTTTGAGCAAGCTGTAATGGCTGTGGCATTGCATGCACGCTTGAAATGCTGAGTCGATGTTGTTGTGATGTTAAGAAAAGAACTGTCTGATGTTGTAATGCACATATGTCTTTGTTTGAAGCAACCAAGCAGTTTTTGTGTATCTAATGCGTTAAAATTTGTGCTTGGTGCTCACTTCAAAAATGCAATGCCCAGCGCGACAAAATGTTTCAATAGCCCTGTTGCTTTTACATTTCAATCAAAAAATCAAAACATTTTTCAATGATGGTTTTCAATTAAACTTGTATCTCCAAAGTGATTCTGAACAAGGTGTCATCACATCTTTTTACGAGCACCTGATACAAAATAAGTAGTTAGGTAGTTAGTAAGTACTTAGCTAAGTGTGTTAACCTTGGTAAATACTTGGCACAGGGTTCATCTAAGTTTGGATCGTCGGCCGAAAGTGCAAGCGCAGGAAGCAGCGAAGAAGGCAGAGCAACGGCAGGCGGCCAAAGACCGTCGCGAGTCGCGCAACCGACAAGCTCGCCAAAGCCGCGAGAGAGGAAGCCGACCGAAAGGAAGAACTCATGCGGCTCCGAGAAGCTGCGACCGCGAACGTGGCGCAGCTGGAAAAGAAGCGACGGGAAGACCTAAAGAAGGCGGGGCGGGAGACTTGTGGCAGGCCACAGAGCTGCAGGGAAGCTTTTGCCTTGCGGGAGGCTCGGGAAGCAAGAAAGGTCCAGGCAAAGCGTGCTCAGCGCGCTGCCGTTCGAAAGGCACTGCGCGCGGCCGCACAGCCCCGCAAACAAAAACGACAGCCGGCAGACTGTGGCAGGACCCCGAGCACAAGGACCACGCAAAGTACTTGGCCTCCAAGCAAAAGGCAAGCAGCGAAGAAAAAGAAACAGCGCCACGACGCCCGTTGGGTGCCCAGCCAGTAGAAGCGAGGATGGGCGAGGGCAATGGGAACGGGAAGGCTCCAGTGTTGGGTTGTGGAATGAGCGTGTTCAATTTGCTTGTGTATAATCGAACCTTTCATCATTTGTTTTTCTAAATCTTGCATCCGGATGTTTTTCAGGGCCTCGGTTTTTTTCGGAATCCGGCGGAAAATTTTGCCGGACTGAGGTCCGGCACTTTTTTAGCCAATAAAGGAGGATCCAGGTATAGCATGTTGTTTTTTTTGTTTCTCCACGGCTGCTTGACGCGCTTTCCGAGGCGATGAAGGCATGTGCGCAAAATGGTTTCTGGCCGACAGCTTTGGACCTGACCCGAAAGCTGGGTGAGACTTTTGGCTGGCAAGCGGCAAGCGGGTACGTTTTCTCGTTTTCGGGCCCGATTCCCCGGCAGGGTGTTATATTGGCAACCAAGTCCTGACATGTACCGAATATATATATATATATATTATGTCATAGATGTCATTGGCCGTGCTCAGAACATCTACTCAAGCTCTTTTTGTGAGTTAATAGGAGGTAGGTGTGCTTTTCGGCCCCGATCTCCCTCTTTTGCAAGACGCCGTTCACCCAGGATGTCCATCGCCCTCGACGGAACCACTTTGTCTACATGCCGGCGACTTGGTGTGACACGTGGAGTGACACGTGCGATCACGTGCAGTTCCGGGGGGCCATGTGTGTTCTCACATGTGTTTCAGGAAGAGTAACTAAGTCCTCCGACAGCTGACATGGACCATCCAACATATCAAAACCATTGGTTTATATAGTTTGCAAGGAGTCAAAGCAGCACACAAACATGTTCCGTTCTTTGCCCACGTTCGGTGGTGCAACCTCTTAGGGACTTTGCAATTACTCGGAAGTTATGGAATGAGGTGCCATCAGCTTCTGGGCCCTTGTGTTGCCAAGGACAGCATGCAGCAGGGCAGAGGTGTGGGATGCTCGGCTATCATCAGTATAGATAAAAGAACACCCATGGACATCATGGGTTCCAGACCATGGAAGTGAAACAAATCAAACGAAGAATGGTCAAAAATTCCGCAACGATGTTTGTGGAGTGTTTCCACCAAACCCGAGCCATTGGAGCACCATGGCCCGCCACCGGCTTCAGGAACTTCCTTTGCAGTTGCTGCAGACCTCTTTATTGTTGCGGATTACTCCGGATCTTATTGACTATGGAGCCACTCTGTCAGCTTGCGAGAAGACAGGGCAGTGGCGACCAGGGCTTTGCTTGCTGAATACGCTGCGGGAAAGTGAATTGCAACCAGATCTCGCTTGCTTCCATGCCTTTATGGATGGAGCTGGAAAAGATGGATGGATCCTTCCAATCCACATGTTGAAGCTTGGAAAACGTGAAACAATAAAGAAAATGTTGGTGTTAGACCCGTGGCTGTGTGTGGATCTCAAGATAAAAGTAACTCAACATTTATATGCCAGGTTTACAGTGTATCGCTTTCCCGTTGAGCATCGCTTCCCGTTGAGGGTCCTTCCATGTCACAGACCAAAAGACCTGCGTCCTTTTGTCCCTCTACAAACCTGTCCTGAACTGTGATTCTGACATGTGATTCTTGCATTTCTGCTGTACCCATCCGTCTATTTTAGACAGGCCATGTTTGTCTGAAGCCTCACAGAACCTGCTGGGTGATCTTATTGTTTTTTTGCACGTGAATGTCCGAGGGGGGTTGACGAGGCCGTTGCTTCGTTGTTTTTTTTTGTTAATATGTGATTGGGAGGCCACTCACTATTGACCCAGCGTTTGCTTGAGGACAGCACTGCTACACACCAACATTTCATCCATCATGACCACCTACAACATTGCTATCAATGTGCCTGATCTTTGCGATCTGCGGGGATCTGTGGGCGATCTGTGGGGCTGTTTGATTTCTCCATGATGGACTGGAATATCTACAGATTAATTGGAGCGTAAGACATTGGTTTTCGGCCACGGGTGGTTCATGAAATCCTGGTTCCTCAAGTCAAAGGTGTCTTTCTTTTTTCAGGGCATGGATACTTACGGCACTCGATTCTTTGCTGAATCGTTTTGTGTTGACATTGACCTGCTAAACACAAGTGACTGGCAAGGCCGAAGGCGGTATGATTTGAGTCAAGGGTAGATCCTGCCAGGGGAACAACTCTCACAAAAGACTGCCGTTGGCTGAGGCTTTGACCACTTGGAACAACAAAGTCTCTCCAGCTTGTACAACATTGAACCAGTCCAAGGGATATGGAAGACATTCATTTCAGCATGGAACATGCCGAAGATCTTACTAAACCAAGTACTGTACCATCCTCGCCATCCTCCAAGCAGCCTCTTCCGGCGCGCGCACACGCCTACGCCTCGGCGCGAGGCCTGTGACGACTGGCGCCGCATCTCGGAGTGGTTGGCTTCGGCGCGGCGCGCGCAGCTGGGGCTGCGCGTCGACGCGATCAGTTGGAACTCGGCGTTGAAGGCCTCGGAGCTCGGCAGAAACGGCGGAAGGGAAAGGCGGTTGGAATGGCTTCAAAAGGGGTGGTGGCAATGGTGGTCTAATTCTTAAGCAGGCGAAGACCATGTTGCACAACACGTGAGGACCACTCGCCTGGAGCAATCTACAGCATTATAAACATAATTGATGTAGATTGATAGGACCCCCCGTTTGGACTGCAAAACCTCTCCACATGGTGTCACCAAATCAACAGTCATCTTTACCATGCAGCATCATGCAGCTAAGAAGCAGCTGCTTTTTTCACTGGAAGAGCGGTCCAGCTTTTTGATTCCCGGCCACACTCCACCAGAGGTTAAACGAAACACTTCTCACTCCGACACATCCCCTGATGCCGTCCTCGACCTTCAGTGCGCCGGAACCCGGCGGAACCGCCGGAACCGAACTCGTAGGCCGGGGCCTCTCCATGGCAGAGGCCGCTGGAGATCCTTCGGCAGATGCAGGTCATTCAGCGGATTCGATTCAGCGGGTTCGTGACGCCCGGGACATGTGGACATCCCGGGTGAAGTGAGGCCGGTTCTGAAGACCGGGATCGGTCGGACCGGGTGGTTTTACATGGTAGTTCGCATTCAAACCGAGGAAGACAAGACTCGTAGTAACCATCCACAGGGGACTGAACCGATTTATCACTGTATATCACTGTGTAGGATAATTGTCAACATGTTTTAGAACACATGCAAGATGATGCAAGCTGCAAGTTTGATCTGACAATTAGCACGTTGAGTAGCTGTACCACAAACGTTGACATCGATGCATTTGCATGTTGGGGTTTGTTGTGCATGTAGTGCCGTCTACTACTTCGGGATGATCGTAATGTTGACATAATATGTCGACATGTACTTGATCTGTGGAAGACATCCAGGGGATAAATTTTCAGCACTGGATAATCTCCCTTATGGTTTATGTATGTTTATTTAAGTTACTATGTTTATTTGGTTTTATTGTCAACATTCAGATTAACAACAATGAAGCAGGGTTTTCTTTTCCAGTGATATTAAGTGGTGTGGGGTGCAATAAATTCCATGTGCTTGGAAACTGCTGGACGTCCAAAGTTTTACCATGCTGGCTTTGGGGCACAAACCTGAACAGCAGAGATCCTATATACCCAGAAGAGTATATTTGCCCAGACGCTTCATGTATGGGAACTACGCAGATATGACATATGCCTACATTGATCCCTGAGCCTGAAACCATGCCAATTTGTAGAAAAATATGAATGGAGCGTCTGAATTGACTTTCAGAGTCCAGAACGATGCTACTTATAGTAAAGGCAAGTCCATGTACAGAAATCATGTGTCTCAGTTCGCGAGCCATGCTTGGAATCACCCATGGCAGGGGAGGCCAACTGAAATCATAGATAGATGATGATAGAACCATTGGATATCATAGAGTTATTATAGCACGCAGTTTGAAGGATTTTGGTCACACCCTGAAAGCTCTTGGAAAGCTGTGTCTTTCTCACCAGGACGAAGCTCTACTGCCAGATGCCTTGACAGCAGATGCATGGGCGAACACTTGGCGGCCACAGCAATGGCAACAGGCACTGTCCGCCCAGTTTTGCAGGCGCGGGCGGTCCGAGGCCCCGGCGGGAACACCGACAGGCACCGGTGAAGCGCGAAGGGGGAAGCACGGAGAAGCGCGCTGTGCAGCTGTGCAGCTGCAATCACTGCATCGCTGCAGCCAAGGGTTCAAAGAATCCATGTCAAGCCCGACAAAAGCGGACTAATTCAACATGACTCCTCTCCCAAATCACCGCGCGCACAAATATAGGTGAATACCCTCAAATCGTAGATGTTGGGTTTTCCTTATGAGGTCCTCATATTTCTGGGAGGTCAACCCCTGCATCTCCGACTTGTTCATGTTCGCGCGTCCATGGACAGGTCTCCTCTACCGCGCTTGGCTGCGGCCGCGGTGCAGGGTAGTCCGTGGCACCTAGGCATGGAGGAGATGGGCACGACCCTGTTAGGCAATGGACACTCGGTGTACACACTTGTTTCCATCTAACCTATATATTTAAACCCCATCTTCAGGTGGGTACCAAAAAGAGACCGCATGATGCATGGAAAACACGTCCCCGCAGAAGAAATAACAGCTTGCCGTGGCGCCTTGAGCCCGACCCAGGCAGCTCGCCTCCTCCCTGGCGACCACCTCACGCCAGCGCCGGGCTGAGCCCGTCTCGGTGGGCGACGGAGGCGTGGAACAAGCGGACGGGTTGACGCGATCGCATCCCGGTGCCAGGTAAAAGATAGTGCTCTGTCACTCTATATATTACATTTGAATATTTTTGATCATTTCGGAGGTGATACGTTCTTTGTGTTGCTTTAAAAGAGCTCCTTCTCAGTCTGAACCAGAGCGGTTCTACACCTTGAAACATTGAACATACTTAAAAACACCTCCCAAGCGGCGTACCCCTCCGCGGCGCGAATGACCCCGCACCGGGTTCCTGGCGCGAGTGGAGGCGGTGCCTGGCCGAGGGCTTTGCAGCTGGTCGGAGGCGGTGCCTGGCAACAGAGCCTGCAGCTCTTGTACGGAGCTCCGATGCAGAGACTGCGAGCGGAGGCCAGCGGAGTTCGCTCATTTCGTTCGGGGAATGAAAGGGAGTTACGAAAAGATTGCAAAATCACATGTTCAGATCCAGGAAATTCCAGACACTTGCTAGTTGGAGTCTTATTTGCATCTGCTATACCAGGGTGTTTGAGGGACACGAAGCCTCGCGCTCCATCAAAAGAGCAACTTTGAGTGAGTTCTTTGTGGCATCCTGTGGCACAGGCGATGTTCATTTCAATATGACTGTGGTAGGCTTGTAGGCAAGCTGGGGTATGTACATCTGGAATCTGCAGAGTGCAAAGACCCAACCTGGCTCTCAACTCATCCTCGAGGGTCAAACTCATTTTGCTCCAACTTAAAATACCTACAATGCTATATATATATAGATGGCTGCCTATGACTAGTACTTGGGCTGTAGTATGTAGCACCTCCACATATTCAAACACCAAGTTTATTTAGCTGTGTAGGGTGCATGAGAAGAGAAACCGGACCATCCCCTCATTGACCATGGCCAGTGTGCCCAACCAGACTCGTTGACTCGAACGCTGCCCATGCTTCGGTGCCAACCAGACCACCCAGGCTGAGCTGCTCCGCGGGGTCAGCGGGAGCGCGGCCTGGCCGTTGCAGGTGAAGCTGTTGTCTTCCATGGAACCGAAGCGACAGGTGAGGGTGAGGGTCCACGGCGGTCGTGCGTTCCAGGCGGTCCATGGTTGCCATGGAAGGTGAATGGAAGGTGAGGGCCACGTGAAGGAGCAGTTGTGTGTTTCCCTCTGAGAGGAATTGGGAGACGCACAATGGAGGTGGGGGGTCTTTTGGAGAACCCCTGAAAAATTCAATTCTAGGAGAAGTGTATATCCTGTTGCGTGAACTCGTTGATGATTCAATCTATCGTTGGGATGACCACAGCCATTGAGTAGCTTGGTTGGCTTGGTGGGATGTTTGATGAGAGTTGATGATTGGCTCGGGTGGGTGGGGTGTATGGATGGATCCATGTTGGTAAACTGGCTATATAACTACATGGGTCTCAAACGTCATCATCCAACTTGGGTATCATCAAAACATATCAAACAAATTCAAACAATCATATTTTGGATCATGGATCATGCCTATACAGAAGTTGTCAGAAGTCAGTTCTACTACATCTAGTATGTTCTGGTATGTTCTATAGTGTTTTCATTTGGTTGAGCCTCCCAAGACCTCCCAAGACCTCCCGGTCCACCTCCTCCCATCAGAATCCACGAGGTTCGACCGCCTCCCTATCCACCCGCACCACACCACCCGTCCCTCCGGCGGGTGAGGCGTTTCGCTGCGAGCTGTACCGATCTGTCGGGCGTTGGTGGGCTGCGCTGCACGTTTGGGAGGAGATGGAACAGCACGGGCTGCGGGCAGACGAGGCGAAGCATGAAAGAACGAGGGGGGGGAAGCATAGAGAAACGCTCGCTGGCTAGAGGTGACGGTCATACAAGATCATTGATTTGTTACTTGTTGGGGGTCAAAGTTCCACTCTTAGATATAATTCTATAGACTTAAACCATACAAACAATACATGGTTCTGCAATCCACCTTGCTTCAACAATTAGACCTGGGTCGAGCCGAGACATTTATTGACATTGTATCCCCCGTGAGTGATGATATAATTCTCTATGAAATGAGTGTTTGTTTCCACTATGAAATGCTCTAGGGACAGTACAATTCATAAAAGTGTTAGTTTGGAAATTAGAACATATTAGAACATAAATCTAAACATCATGTCATACAAACATAACTGGGGGAAAGAGGATTGCTGCTGTGACCATGCCAAAGTGATACTTCAAAAAAAACATTTGATGACAGATGAATGTCACGAAAGGTAGCTTGAGCTACCTGAGTTCTCCTTGCTTTAGCAAACATGTATTACAATCAGGAGTTGGGATTGTGCATTGAGTTTGGTCCTGTAAGAGTTGATTCTATTCGTCGGGGGGGGGGACCCCCCCCTGGATCAAATCCCCCCTGCGCCGGTTCACGCCGTCATGGACTTCTACCAGGGTTACTTGTGATTGCCTGCTACCTTTCGTTCACCCCCTCCTCTCTCAAGTCTATAATTCTACAGCAAAACCTTTTGATGGAAAACACAGTGTTTTTTAAACCAATGTCTTCAAACATCTTCAAGCACATCAAACAAACTCACAAAAAGAGCCGCCCGCATCCGTTGATGCATGTTTTCTTCAGCATGTTGTGCTAGATGACTGCGCCTATTGTCTCAATATGTTGTGGCCAACTCATTTTATAAATACAGTTTGTTGGAGGTGATATTCTGTAGCTTTGTTGCTTTGACAGGCATGGATAGGGCTATGCTTCTGATAGAAAGGACAGTTTTTTATTTTATAGAGAATCATGATGCACACAGTATTTCATACTGGATTCATACTATTTTTTTTTCTATAAAATGAAATCCTGTCAGGCCTTACCACCGGACAAGGAGGATGACTTTGTCATCTCATTAAGTCCATCTATAATCATTAATCTATAGAATTCTATACATCATTATCAACTAGTTCAATCTAAAGTTCTTTGGTTTCGGATACTCTCCCTGGAATAATCATGGTTACGTGGATGGCACGGCATCCTTTCGTTCGGATCTCCTCCACAAAGCCGGTGGTTTTCATTCGGGCATGGCGGTTTTCACCGTGGGCGAAGGCGATGAAGACCGGAGACCTGAGCGTGTGCCCGGTGTGTTTCCAAAGGGAGGACACCAGACAGTGAAGGTCTCAAAAAAATAGGTGACTTCACTCAGTAGCCTTTTTCTCTCTATCCAATGGTAAATCCTCAGGTAGGGACACCCTTTATATACAACAGTCATTGGTCATAAGATCAGCCCGGTCCTCCCCGGGTCACCTAGCACGGCATGGCAGCATGGCACCGTTGCCCGCCTGGGCCAGGTGCACTGCAGCAGCCTCCTGCGTGCCTGCGACGAGGAGCGCGTGCCCAACGGCTGGTGCCGGGCCTTGGCCCTCCTGCGGAGCCTTTCCTCGGGGGTCGCTGGGCCGGATGCGGCCATGCTCGGTGCTTTGAAGGAGCCACCTATATACTTCATGATAGCCTACTATAGACAGCAGATAAATGGCCGGCCGTTGCCTGGGTGTAGCGGAGTTGACTTCTTGGTTCGAGGTGAAACTGCTTGCGGGAAAAGGGGATCCACACTCATATTCAGTTATGGATATCCAATATTGGTGAAGAATGGTGAAGATATGATGTAGGTTTGGGGCGCCAAGTTCAGCAACTGGAGCAATCTCATCCGAAGGATTTGATGAGACCTGAGACCCTTTACCGATTGTTCATGGGAGGTTCTGCAGGGCACTGACATGACGAGGTTTTTGCACAAAACCTTGGATGCACGTGTTGTGCAGGACATCGGCATCATCGGCAACCCCCCAACTGGATGTTCCGATGCATGTCGGTGACCATCGAAGTGGGATCTGCCGACACACACTCCATTTTGGATCCCTTTTTTCGACCACCCCAGACAACCAGGACCCAGGAGTCTGCCAGGACCGTGACAAGACGGCACCCCGGGTGCGGTGCTGGTGCTGGGCACCTGCTGAGTGGTCCATCCTGTCAGGTCCGCCGTGATCCCATCCTTTGGAATGCCCTCTTGGCCACCACCTCGTTGCCACGCGGCGGGTCCGCGGCACCCGCTGATCCGCGCCGATCCGCCTGGGCGCGGCCGCTGGTGCTGGTGAAGGCGATGTGGGAGAGCGCGGTGGTGCCAGTGGCTCGGGCGGAGATGAGAAGGTCGGGGTTTGGGGTGGATTTTGTTTGTGATTTTTTTCCACGAACTGGGTAAATGATCGAAATTGGGGAAGGTGTGATTTTTGTCAGGTCCCCTAAGCAAATTCAAGAAAATTAGTGAATGGATTGAAAGAAACGATCCTGAGATCACAAAGGACATCCAAATTTGGACCAGCACCAGGTGTTAGGGCCGCTTCGACTATAGCTGCTAGTGGGAATCCCATAGTCGGCAAACCCATGTCTTTCAAGGTTCATGAATCGTTTTCACACGTTCATATCAGTGGACAACTGTTGCTATGTATCTTATCATGTTGCAGTCATTTTGGTCATGGTGATGATGGTGATGGGAACAGTTTGTTCACCCTAAAGCTAACATCTCCACCACTATTGCAGATAACCAGAGTCGCCTGCCAGGGATTTACAGGGCTCATTATTTTCGCATCATGCTTAGTTAGTTTCTGGGTGTGTATATCTTGTGCCTTTACATGCATTTGTTTTGTTTGGTTTTCTGCGTTATGCTGCAAGTGTTTTTTTTTATTATTTTTTTTGTGTTGCTCAGAAATCAATGCATGCCATTTGCTTGGTTTCATTGCCAAGTCAGGACATTGTCACTTTCAACACCTTGCTGAGTGCCAGCAGATGGGAGGGAATGCTGGCAATCTTGCTTCAGATGGAGCAGATGAGGACGCCGATTGAAGATGTTGCTGCCCTAACAGTTGTTGATTCTTGTGCGCAAGCAGGGCAGCTAGCCTTGGGGCGGCATATCCTGGAGAACATCTTCCAACACGTGACCTGGATCGAAGAAGCTCTCCGAAACAGACTCGCACCGCTTTAAGTGAAGAATTCCATTGAAAAGCCGTGGTTGGTGAAGCCCCTCAGGATCAGGTTCGCTTATTCTTTCAATGAGTATTGCGTCTATGGCTGCCAAGTGGAGGACTAGACCAGTTCAATCGCCCGCGCATGATTGGCACACCATCAAAGACCTTCGTTTGCATTTTTTGGCACACCACTTTGATACAAATAGATCTAGATCACATATCCCCGCTAGACTTTCCCATCTCCCTCTACAAGTGGCAGGTACTTTGGCCACTGGATCCCCGAGAAACGAGACATAGACCAACAGCTTCTCACTGAGGCTCCACCCCGTGAGAACTCAGTTAGACCAACGAACACATCACACATGGGTTCATGGATGGCATGCCCCCCCCTGTTCGTAAAAGAAAGTCGTCTTCCTTTCGTGGCTTTTCGGTCTCCACAAACCCATAATGATGGGTTCAGAGTGTAGATTGAAAAGTATCTCCTCCAAAAACGACGTTACATTCTTCGGTCACCTGTTAGGTCTGGGCTCATCTGGAGACCCAAAAAGGACCATTTTCCAAGGGTTGGCAAGTCAGAGTGTCACAGTCCTTGAAATAATAATGGTTTCGTCCTTGGACTGGTCTTCGGAAAACTCGTCATCCGAAAATCAAGGGCCCATGGATTGAACCATCCACCTGGGCCCAGACACTCAATGGGATTGGCACATTTACCTACATTGGGTTAGTTTGAGGGGTCAATGTAGGTCAAAGTTCCAGCCCCAGAAGGGTTGTGTTTGGGTATTTACCTGGAGACCTTTGGGAGAGCTTTGGGAGACCAAGAGGGAGACCAAGACGAGCAATGACATCGTGGAAAGAGACGCATGAAACGGACCAGGTGGGAGATGCAGAAAAAGAGACGCACAAACTGGTTTGGGATCAGGTAGGACATGGTAGGACTGATTGTTCAGTTGGTTTGCACTGTGATCATGTGGTACATATATATATATATATTTCAATAGTTCCGCTAGTCCTAGATAAAGAGGATCAGGGTAGAAAAACATACAGTAGACTGGCGTGGAGCCACCTATTCAACAGTTCCTTCAATTCTTCCCACACATGATTGGACCTTAATGCTTTAAAAGGGAGACCCCCCGGATGCTCTGGGTGTGTAAGTTTATGTTTCTCTTCTCAGCAACATAATATATAATAATGTTTCATGTTGTCTCTTCTCAGCAAAACCGGTTTGGCACTTTTGAGACATACACAAATCGCGGTCATGTGGTTCCTGTTCCGATCCACTTCACTCCAGGTCCCTGCGGTGCTTCGCCTGTGGTCCTTCGCCCAGTTGGGCGTCGCCAACGCGTCTGCCATCGCTGCCGCCTTTCGCCACGCGCGGGACGACGAGCGGCGAACGGGGCTGTCGGCCGCGGAGGCGCACATGGCGGGAAGATCGGAGAAATGGGGAACCTGCGGGCATGGAAAGAAGCTGTAATCGCGGGGAAGGCGGATGTCTTTGTTCAAGAGAAAGAGATAGAAGACAATAATGCGATATATAGAACAGGGGTGTGTAGGGCATTGGTTTGAAGAAAAGAGGCTATCCTGACATACTTATTGTGTGTTCCTTTGTAAATTAACTTCTTAACGTGGCTATTTGATAAGGGGCCAAACTTGAAGGGTCGTGACATCACCTTGATTTAGGGTCTACATAGTCCACATGCAGTCAATCCCTTGTTATGGGAAACCATGTCAAATCTATTGCCCATAATAGTGGGGAACATTGCTGCTCATTCTACATCGCCAAGTCTATTTCGCTTCGTGTTTCAGTGTCAAAGGGGCCTGACTAAGCCCAACCCCGGTGCTTTTGTTCTTCAAATTTCGGCTCAACTCTGCACAAGAAGGCACTGGTATACGAGAACATATCAATTTGGTGTCAATTGATTGTACATCACTTTTTCAGAACCAGTATACAGTAAGTCTACAGCCATGGTGATGCAGATCTCACTGCGTCAGCTCAACGGCGAAGTGATGATTCTTAAAGCCTCATTGGAGATGACCGGAAGGGAGCTCAAGAGGAGATCAAAGAACGTCAGTGGTGGAAGGACAAACTCACAGGTGAAACAACTCGAGTCGAGGTTCTTGTTGGAGAGAGCAAGCTGATTGAGAATGATGAGACACTTGCAGCCGCCGGCCTTTCCGTGGATTCCAAATTGACAATAACTTTCAATCACAACACAACAAGATGTTCCCACAAACGAGACATCACTCAGTTTCGCCACTTCCAATCATTGATAGCGGTTGAAATCCCAAACGATATTTCTGAGAGAGGGAAGCGTTCAGTGGATGCAGCACCTTGGCAAAGCTGACCATCTCCGACACAGTGACCGCATTAGGGACGGTGCCTTTGCGACCTGCCTTAGATTGGCAAGTGTGACCATTCCCGACACAGTCACCAACATTGGGAGATGGGCCTTTGCGAGCTGCAGCTCTTTGGCAAGTGTGACCATTCCCAACTCAGTGACCCGCATTGGGGATGGTGCCTTTGAGAACTGCACTGCTTTGGCAAGTTTGACCATTCCCGACTCAGTGACCCACATTGGGAATGGTGCCTTCAAGGACTGCGGGTCTTTGACAACAAGTGTGACCATACCCGACTCAGTGACCGACATTGAGCATATGACCTTTGCGAACTGCAGCTCTTTGGCAAGTGTGACCATTCCCAACTCTGACCCAAATTCAGGATGGTGCCTTTGAGGACTGCAGTGCATTGGCAAGTGTGACCATCCCTGATTCTGCAACCTACGTTGGAAGTTTAGCCTTTGCTGGCTGCCCTGGTGCCTTTGACTCACTGGTGCCTTTGACGGTTGCTGCATTGAGCATAGCAATAGAATCTGAATGATGTGAGTGCCATCAATGCGAATATATGTCGAGTGTATCATTGGTTTCTCTCAGTGAGGGCTTTCTTTCGAGCGCATATCTTGGCTCCACAAAGAGCTCGCCCGAACCCGGGGGCATCGGCGGAAGAAAACAGTGTGCAGGCTGAGGCGGGAGGAGGACAGAAGGACAGCTCCCCATGAGAGCGAAATGGTAGGTCACAGGCTCATTCAGGAGTTCGTGAGGCTGTCGTCTTTTGGTTGTTCGACCATCCGGCAAAAACGGCGTGCCACGTCGTTTTCAGCATTTGATCGTGATCGTTGAATAATCCTGAAGAGCCAAAGACTCAGAGCCATCCTGTTGCGACGCCATCGTCCGTGACCTCAGTGACCAAATTTTCCGTCCGAAAACGGTCGATTCGTGGGTGAAATGAAATGCGCGCAGGTGCCCAAAGTCTGGTGGGCTTGTGGAATTTTGGGTGTGAACAGCAGCTTCTCGCAGCGGCTGGCGCAGATCTCTGCAGGAGACGTTTTGTCGATTTTTGCCCGGGCGCAGATATGTGTAAATCGATGGACTCGTTCAAACAAGCGATGTATATAGCCAGGTTTTTAGGTGATGATCCTGTGGGTGTCCTTTCAAATTTCATGTCATGTCGAGTATAGACTCTGGTGTTGGTTTTTGGGATGCAGACACAAGCACGATCAAGCAGCTCTCTTTTTCTAGCCAACCTCAGGTGGAGAAAGCAAGAGCCTGGCGTCCGGACCCTCCGAGATGTCCTCATGTGCCACCGAGATGTCCTCATGCCGGAACCCCAGTTCGTCCCACACCCCTCATGGGACGTCTCGTCTTTCCAATGTGGTGTTTATGTAGTATACGTATACTTGGCTCACAAAGAGCAACCCTGGTACCAGCAGTCACAAAGGGGTGCTATCCATGGAGGTTAGGGGTGCCCAGCTACTCCACTCACTGGATGGGACGTTTCACACCACCCCGACATGTGACTCCTGGTGCTTGGATGTACTTGGGGGATTGGCTCGCAAGACTTCGGAGTTTGGTCCGTTTTTGTTCGAGTCGAACAGGACTCCTCAGCCGCTTCGACTCGGCTGAACTCTTGGCCATCACCATGGCCGCGGCGACCGAAAGCACCCGGGCGCCAGTGGTGACGGGCGAGCTTTTGGCCCAGCTCCAATGGGAGCTGCTCCGGCGTTTGTCACGCGACCCAGCAGGGAGTGGTTTGAGTGCCCTCCAAGCAGCCTTGCAGGACGGAGAGACGACGGAGAGATGGAACAAATTTCTTTCTTTTTGTTTTTTTCGAGGTGGAGGATGTGGAGGGTGGGGTGTATAGACAGTGTAGACTTTTTGATGTCTTAGGAACGATTTGGGTTGGTGAGGGACCGAGGGAGAGTGATTGCTGCATGTTGCTGCTATTTGCTGATGGCTACCCTCTTAAAAATGTAATTGAGGTGGGGGGGTGGGGTATGTAATTACAATTTGCAATTACTTTTTTTTTTGTTTTCTTTTTTCGCAGCTGCGGTCCGTCCCATATTTTGGTCCGTCCCACACTTCGGTCATGTTTTTCGCAGCCATTTGGTTGGATCATTGGGCCACGGGCGATGGCAGCTTATGTCTGGACCTTAGACATGTATGGAAGTGTATGGACGGTGTTTTTTTTTTTAATGGGAGGAGCGAATTTATTGGACACGACGATTCAATGCACCTGCAGCTGGGGCTCAATGGAAAATATATGTCTGTGCTTTTTTATACGAAAATATACCTTTACCATCCTTCACCGTCCTTCACCTACTATTTATCATCATTGAGTATTTATATTCTTTATCATACTTTATCTACTATTTATACTATTATACTATTTATCATCATCCTTTACCTACTATTTGACACCAGACAGAACAGAAAGCATCACATTATCTCACATCATGTCATATCACTTCAGGTCACATCAGCCTTTCAGCAACATGCAATATCATGCAACCACATTACAATCACTCAGACATATTCAACAAAGCACCAGCCCCAAAGATGTGTCATATATGTTTGCCATTTTGCAAAACGTGGTATCCCTCACTTTGGTCTGTCCCCTCACTATCCCTCACTTTGGTCCGTCCCCTCACTATCCCTCACTTTGGTCCGTCCGTGGTGCGTCCCTCGCTTTGCCCATGTCGTGCCTGCGGTGTGGGCGGTGGCGCAGGGCAAGGGACTTCTGGTGCCGCCACGTTGAGGAGCACCGCTTCCATGACGGGTGCCTCGCAACGGTCCTTCGCTCCTCAGCACACTTCTGTCCTTATTTGTTTTGTTTCTTACATGTGGGTGCTGTGTGATATTGTATGGCTGAGTTTTGGTGTCATTGCAAATGGACCCACAAGAGGTTTAGAGGATTCCCACTTGCTTCATGTTGGTTCTTGATGGTTCATGATGGTTCTTGTGCTAAGGAGCAGGCAGCCAGTTGTGGGACCATATCAGGGAGCGGCATGATGAAGATGTTCTGGCGTCATGGAATGGGTCCCTTGGTCTGAGATGGTCTGAGACTGCCACCTCCAGAGTGATGATGATGACATTAAATGATTCGTAATTTCAAGAATACAAACAATTACAAGCAAATTTAACGCCATAGTGAAATAATAAACAATATCAAAAATATACATGCAAATGGGGTTCTTTGAAGTTTTTTTATTGTATTCACATGATTTCACAGGTATTCATGGTAGTTTGGTCAATCTTGGTTATGGTTTGTCTAGAACGGTCTAAAAAAGTTTATGAATGATTGAAACCTAATTTGCTGTTGCTTCTTGACGTCGTGACACCTTGCCAGGTGTCCAGTTTGCGCCTTTTCGTCTCCGGAGGCGGCTGGCCAGTCTTGCAGAATCTGGCCGAGGAAGGTGCTGGTCGTTGCATTTGGGTTCAACAGGCAGTATTGCCCCGAGAAGGTGACTTGCCCAGCATTGGAAAACCTGTCATGGTTGTCCATGTAATGTGATGCCATCGGACTAAGAACATGAGAGACCCCCAAGAAATCCCAAGAATATCCAAGAATGGTAAGGGAGATTAGCAGAATGTTGTGCGAGTCTTGTGCTGCCATCTGGCCAGTTCCTTGACCCGTCCTACCTGCCGGATACTATGGGCGCGCGGTGCCTTCGGTCAGTCATCACCCACAATTTGAACCTTGGTTACTATTATTTACTATCGAGTTGATGTGATTTGATTTTTCATGTTTGTTTTATTTTGTAGCATTTCGTAGCTGCTGTATGTTTTATATGGTTGTGGAAGTTTTAGGAGTGCTTCACATGGTCCTTGCTCCAGACTGCTTTCCCCTGCTATGCTCATCTTTGCTCTGAGGATGACGTTGCTCCCGAACCCCGGCGCGAGGGGAAGATACGGGCCTGGGTTGGAGAGGCGGACGCAGGAGCATGTGTGGGGTCATTCCATGGCCCAGCCGGCCCTGCTCACGATCCTGCTCCAGCCAGCAGCCTGCGTGATGCCCCTTGGAAAGTTTGGCAACCCTTTCAGTTTTTGATTTTTTGTCGCGTAGCCCTTCCAGGCCATTCCAGGATAATCCAGGCCCTTCCTAGCCTTGTTAATTTATGTTAATTTTCCATATTCCATCATGTTCCTTCATCATTCAGGATCCGATGCTCCGGGGGAATTCACCGGTCAGTCACGCTGGCGGTAGCATTGGCGGGGCTCTTGGTCATGTCAGGCCGGCAGGCTGGATGTCTCCTGCCGACATTGTATGGCTGGCCCGTCCAAGACGTTGGTGCTTTGGCATGGCTCTGAACACGTTTTCTTGTATAATTATACAATCCTTCAATGTGCTTATGGCACCTTATGGTGACATACCACGACGATCCATGATGTACATGTTATATCATATTATAGCAATGTATATCAGCTTATATCAGCCTTTCAATCCTTCAACATTGAGGTATATTGAGGTTTCTGCACACTGCCAGTATCTGGAGAACGGGGAGCTTCCAGAAGGCCATGTCCGCCTGCAGGCAGCTCAACCTGCAAAAGGCAGTTTCTATATGTTTCTATATTTTTGCATAAAACATAGTGAAGCAGCGTGCAACAGGACACAGCAAGTGATTTGGCACTGATTGGCCCGGCTTCATCATGTTTCATCAGTGGTCAAAGATTGCATGGCCTCTGAGGAGATGCGGGATGCTGCGGACATCATGATCGCCGCTCTTCCAGTTCTGGAGCCGCTCGCGCCACAGGACAACCCGATTCAGGTTGTGGACCGTCCGAGGGCCACAAATCGGGCGGCGGACCGTCTGGAGGAGCAGGAGTTCGAGCCGGATACTGGGTCAGTCCTTTGGAGGAAGGTTACCATGACAATCCATGACATACCATGGCAACATATGAACAATTATGAACACATGCAGAATGTAATAGCATGTAGCAATTTGTAACATATTGTAACAACAACATACAACAACCACCATCATCTATCATCAACATTCAACATCATTCAACTATCGCTCTGAAGCTTTTTGATGTCTTTTCAGGCCGGATCATGCCGGCAGGATCCGGCAGGGCGGAGTTAAATTTTGATGAATTTTGATATGTTTTGCAACGTTTCAATCTTCTTTTCTTGGCTGCCTTTACATGCCTTTACTATCCTTTACTTGCAGTTTGCCTCTTCAGGTCTTGGCGGACCGTCTGGTACTTCGGTGGCTTGACTCCTTGTGGCTGCTGGACACCCCGTACCTGGACCGTCTCCACGAGTTGGACTGGCTCCGACAGACCCGCGTCCTGTGATCTAGCTTTGCTTCAACATGCTTTGGTTACTTTTGATTTGTGGAATTTGGGTCTGAAATGGTCTGAAGACAGGGCATGATGTTGCATGGCAGCGTATCGCAGGTCTAGATTGATATAGATTAAACTTGATTTTTCAGGGGGGTCCTTAATGATTGTGAATTTCTTGGAGAAAGCTTATGTCAGTCTGAATATGTCAGGCCATGTCAGGCCAGCAGGCTGAATGTCTCCTGCTGACGCTGTATGACTGGCCCGTCCAAGATGTTGGTGAAAGCGTGTGAAAGCTCTCGGAAAGAGCCTTAGAATTCCTGTCTTCGATTGGGAAAAGCCCTGAAGCGGCAAGGTTGCTTGGATCCTTGGATATACAATGGGTTTGTCGAGGGATGCCGAAAGTTTGAGCAAGTTGTATGGGCCTGTAGAAAGCCAGACAGATCTGTGTAATTTTTCCAGCTGTGAGATGGCACTTCCCAGCAAGAAGTCCAGACAGGGGCACTCCAACGAGCAGCGGTTCAAAATCACATGGACCCACCTGCCAAGAATTTGACAGTCTGACAATGTTGTTAATGCTGGGTCAGGCTGGAATCGAGGAACGAGCCCTTGCCAGCAAGAATAGCTGTTTCAAGCTGTGCAGCCAGCGAATGCTGGCAGCAGCTCCAGTGAACATAAGTGAATGCTCGCTCGGACCCAAAAAAGAGGCGTCCGAAGTCCTTTCGTAACAAAAATAAATGTAATTGCCCCCCCCCACGTCCGCCCCCTCTATAGGGGTGGCCATATTTGCTGATCGATGATTAATTAGTGTTTGATGATGATGATGATGAGGAGGAGGAGGAGGAATATAATTAGGTGGAAGTGGAAGAGGAGGAGGGCGGTGACCACGATGGCTGAGTGATAGTAATGCTTGGTTGTGTTTCTTCACCTTGTGAAACAGTTCTTCCGGTTGACCAGGACTTCCTGGGCATCCTTTGGGCGCTCCACTTCGCATCCGCCACAAGCAGATCCGCTTCGGCGCGGGTGGACGTGCTGCGCTGGGCAGACCTGCTGGAGGCAGAGGCAGCGAAGGTGATGCACCTGGGATGGAAGAAGAACCAGGTAGAGTCCCCGAAAACAATAGAGATCAGGAAGTTGAATATACCAGCGCCCACCTCAAAGGCTTTGGGTGGTTCTCCATACAAAATAGGTGGAGAGTGGAGCGCTAGTAACGAGACGTTTGCGTTCTTCACCCCCGAACAGGGTTTCCCAACTATCGCCTGAGAAAGTATATACTTGGGTTCGGGTCTGTGGGGTCTGTGGGGTCGAAACTATCATTCCCTACAAATCCAGTCGTACCGAACCTCGGTAATTGGACAGTCCTGGCACCCACACAGAACAGTGTCTGCAATCACCGTACCTGAGGTTCGGTGTGACTGGATCCCTAGGGATTGACAGTCTTGAGATTCTGGGAACCGCCGAAGAAAGAAACGTCCAACCAGAGGATGGATGACACGACCCCAACAAAAACGCTGACTTGTCTTTTGGATCTTGATTATAAGATCCTGAAGACGTGGGGATGATCTGCGAGATCTGAAGGATGTGACAAACACATCCAGTCGGTCGTTCAGATTTTGCGCATCCCCAAAGCTGAGAAGCGGCAATGCATGCTCAAGTCCATCAAAACATAGCAACTTCTAGAAGAGTTGAACCGGTTTTTAAAAATTCCGGTTCGGACAAAAAGGGCCCGGCCAAACAACGAATCATGACCATCGTCATCCACCAAACAAAGTGGCACGTGTCAGGAGGTGCTCACGATTGATTGCCCGCTCTCTTGAGCTGTCATGCCTTTTCTGCATCCCTGTCAGGCTCCTGGCCCACCCCTGGCACCCACCCCTGACCCAGCCCTTCACCATCCCAAGCGCCAAGACCAAGGCGCCCAACGGCCCAACCACTGTCCTCGACAGCGCCCTCCACCTCGGCCATGGACGTGGAAGTGCCCCAGGTCCTCCTGGAGCTGCGCCTCGGTCCAAGGGGGGCAGTCTCGGTCTTGCGAAGAGTCTGGTTTTTCTTGTGGTTGAACTATGTTGAAATGAAGCCTTGGTAGGATGGATGATGCCTGACCCTCGCGGCTTATGTTGTTTCGTTTCACAAAGCCCCAACCCACAGAGGAAGTGGCTTTCTACAGTTTGATCAGCTTCCTTGCCAATCTTTTCTACCATCCTTTGCTGGGTCTTTTGCCAGCAACCCTGGTCTTTGGACGGTGTGATTCCTAGTGGCGCTCAAGCATCTTTAGGATGCTGTGGTAGATTTCACTAATCCTTAAATCATCAGTTTTTTATACTATCATATATCGATCTGTATTATTCATATAACTATATACATTCAAGATTCAAGAACTCGTTTCACTTAACACATAATCCTTGAACAATTCAAACATGGACCCTTTTCGTGTTCATCCGTCTCCTTTCTCCTGTCCAACACGGACGAGACGCGCTGGGGCGGGACCTCGCGGGACCGCGACCAGGCCGGATCGCATGGCGTTGACCAAGCCTGCGGGGTGGGAGGTCTATGGAGACACCCCACATCAGTGACCCGGTGGGTTTGGTCGGAGCGATCCCGCCGGCGGGGCCGGCCCGCGTGGACATGGGGTGAGTTGGCAGGTGATTGAGGGATGAATGCCACATAATGCCATGGTTTTCTCCTCCCCCAAAAGGGGTGGGTTCAGGGGTGTTGATTGGATCATAGTAATCCGGTCCACCTATTAATAAACACGGCCCCCCCTAATAGAGAAACTCGGTCGCATTTTTTCTAATAGGGGGTCCCTGAAATCGGGAGGTCCAAAATAGGGTCAGTGGATGTGCAATATTTTGTTGACCTTGAAGTGCAGAATTCGTTGCAGGTGCAGTACTTTGTGGACCTTAAAGTGCAGAGTTTGTGGCGCGCGCAGTACTTTCTTGACCTGGAAGTGCAGATTTCGTGGCAGGTGCAGTACTCTGTTGGCCTTGAAGTGCAGATTTCGTGGCAAGCGTAATACTTTATGGACCTTGAAGTGCAGAATTCGTGGCGCGCGCAGTACTTTGTTGACCTTGAAGTGCAGTACCTTGTTGACCCCCTTTAGTATAGCCAGGGAGAGTCAGCAACGTAACATGGTCGATTTTGAGGGGACCTATTTTGAGGGAGTTTTGGGGGAACCTAACAAAAAAACTTCCCCCAAAATCGACCCTGTTGGTAGTTCAGTAGCGGCTTGAAAGGGCGGTATATTCAATAAAAATATAAAGCGAATTTAGGGCTTCGGACGTTGAGTTTTTTTAATTGGGGAGTGTTTATTAATCGGTACTCGGGTTTATTTTCACTGGTGGGTTCTAGATGGTTCAGGTATAGTCCGAATTAACCCTAACGTATCCTAACTATATAATTATGTGGGTCAAGAGTCATGACAGGATTCATCTCTTCTCATCTTTTCCGTTTTGTTTTGTACGACGGAACGGAGCCGAGCACTGAAGTGGACTGAAGTGACTGTAGAGAATTAAAGGTGTAGAAGCACTACCTGGACCCTCCAGGGGGTGTCCAATGGAAGCCTATAGGTAGTGTGGGGTAGTCCATTGGACACCCCTTGGAGGGTCCAGGTATATATATAATTCTTTTCTTGGCAACTGTTTTATGACCTTTATGAGGGATTGCAGCTAATTCTCTAGAATTCAAGCAACTATTTAGAAGCGAGAGGGAGTGCTTTTCTTGGCACAAGGCGACTAACCACCTTTTTGGACACCTCCAGGCATATCTTCACCAACATGTTCGCTCATGTTCACTCCACCATACTCCACCCCATGCCCGACCTGGTGATGCTCCCGGTCATGTCTTCAACTCCTGGTGAAATCCTTCACTTCTGAGGTGTTTTAATCTTTCCACCCGGCAGAACCCTCAGCTCTCCACGAAATTGCCCTCCAGCTCGTGCAGAGCGGTGGCCTCAGACCACCAAGAACTCCGGCGGCCTCCGGACCAAAACGAGCCAAAAGACACCTCCCTGGACCATCCTGTCTGGGTGTCCTGGCTAGACTACCCTGCCATCCTTATGGCCCTCCACTGGGCACCCATTGGAAGTGCTAGGTCCGGTCGTCGTGACGTCTTCAACGAGACGAGGCTCCTGAGTTACCTCCGCGCGCGGGACGCCCGTGTCATCGACGACGCCCAGCATGCCTTCGGGTTCCTACACCGCTTGGACGTGCCCAGCTCAGGCGGGGAAGGACAAGAAAGTGGGAAACAGAAGGAAGCGGGGAAGGGGCGGGTGTTTCGTGTCCCTTTGTGAAAGACCATGTATTTATTGAAGTATATATCGATTATTATAAATACAGTATTAATATATTATATGATGAAACTAATGTTTTGAGTTGGTTTTACTTAAAAAAAATTGTTTTGCCAGATGGATTTGAGGAATGGAGAGGATACCTTGAACGAACAGTCGATATTTAGAGTGGAGGAGGACACTGAAGCCTCTACCTTGCTCCCACCTGAAAAGGCCTCTTTGCAAACGTGCCATGATTCATGCCGTGATTGGCAGAGATCAGGTTATGGGTTCGCGTGTCCATGCAACAAAATATGACCCAGAATCAGTGACATCTAGGGGACAAGCAGACAGTGGAAAAGTGAGCGAAAAAAAGGACAATGCTTTGAGATGTTTAAGACCTGACTCCTGACTCGCTGATGTGTTTTCACTCACAAGTCTGGACGAAAAAAGTAACCTGACGGACAGAGCTCGGAGACAATTGGTGGAGCTCGGTGTGACGAGGAGCTCGGATTCCGACCGACCATCGGTGTTTGGGGGCTCATGCATCGGACACGGACAGTCCAGTTGAATGGGGACTGGTTGGGTCTGTCACCATCCATTGCCAGTACCCTGCGACTCATTAGCATGGAAGTGGAGTTCACCACCTGTTTGTAGAGGAGAATAGTTATTCAACGGGCCATGCCATCCACTTCCAGGTTAGCAAGTCGGAGGGCAACAGGTGGTAAACACTGATGACGATTTGAGAGATGGAAAGGCCTGCAACTGAACCATCATCCACTGGGCCCACAAAATTTGCGATGATATACCCAATGATACCCATAATGGACGTCCCAATGGACTGTTGATGAAGGACACTTGGCCCATATGAAGAGATTTTACATCTTCCTTATAAGTGTTTGGTTTAATCAAGAGTCTACATGAACTTTACATCTGTAGCTTTTTGGTGGGGTTTCAGTCCTCTCCAAATGGAGACTCTGAGAGCTTGACGGAGACTTTGGGAGCCACTCAAGGACCTCTGCGGATGTGATGGATGTTGGACTTCTGTTCACCCACCCAGTGGATCCAGGCAAGCCACGAACGAACGTTCGCTGGGAGTCCCAGTGGTTCCCAAGACTAAAGCCATCGACCTAAAAACACTGAGACTGGGATCTAGTGGGCTCCCTCAAAAGCTTCACGATGGCGACTGTGCCCCATGCCCGTTCCTACGCATGTGCCGCACCAGGGCTGATTTTGTCGGCCAAGACTTACAGAGCTTACTATGATTTGCAGCCCCTGGCCAGATTGGTGGGGTTCCGAGACACATTCGCAACACAGGCAAGCGAGCGCAGTACAGACAGCTGAAGAAGCGGTTTCATCACAGAAAAGTAGAGAGTACCTTTGAGGTATCGGATTACAAAAGCCACGTAGAAGGCGCCAGCTGAGTTGTGTTTGGCGAACGAAGTGAGTAAGTAGGGGGTCTGGGGGGGGGTGGCGCGAGAACGTACCACGTAAACTCGAAATTAGGTGGGGGAGAGGGGTGCGCGGAAGTAAGGTTTTTGAGGTTGAATTTTTGTGACTGTTGAGGGGTGGTGATGCAAGAAATGCAACTTGCATCAATTTGCAGTTTTTGCATCATCTGAACGGTAAGGTGTAGTTTTACAGAGGCCGATGTGTTGTAGCTTCGTGCAGCTGTGAATGCACAACCTTCTTACACACCTATATAAGGTCAAAGCACTCATGAGTTTTCAAATCCGTGGATTGCTGCACGTTTCTCAAGGTTATCGAGCGGCTGACGGAAAGGGAAATTGAAGTGCTACCTGGCAACTGAATTGTAGCGGTTGACGGAAAGGGAAATTGACGTGCTAGACCTGGCAACTGAATTGTAGCTACCCTGGGTCCGTATGAATGCTATTTTGCTATACCTCTTTAATACCTATAATATATAGTTCAAAGCACGAATGAGACTTCAAAGCTGTGGGTTGCTGCACGTTTCTAATGGTTATCGAGCGGTTGACGGAAAGGGACCTTGAAGTGCTATACCTGGTAACTGCCTTGTAGCTGCCCGGGGTCCGCGCGCCCGCGCGCCTAAATCTAGGGCAGATCGGGAGCCAGCAAGGCGCGCACGCGCGCGGACCCAGGGTAGCGGACCCAGAGTAGCTACCGCTGCACTTTTACTATCTCTCCTCTCAACGTGCTCGTGGACAAAAAGCGCTGGCTTTCGTTTTGCAGCTTCTCAGTTTTGTGGGGTCACACCAGGTTCAATGATCTTCGGAATGCTAGGAAATATAATAAGCATCTTTAATCGCGACCCATCTGGTGTGCTTGCGGTTTCAAAAAGACAACGTCAACATGCATCATCTGTCATCATTGATATCTCATGTTTATCTAATTTTGAATTTTTTGGAGTCCAAAACACCCAAACACCTGTCCGACCTATCCCAGACACTCCATGGGACTGCCATATATGCCAAAATAGACCCCTCAAACCATCCCAATGTAGGCACATATGGCAGTCCCATGGAGTGTTTGGGTATGGAGGTTTCTTTTCGCCGGAAAATCGGGTTTCGGAGCATCTCAGGTTCCAGCTGGTCACGGGGCAAATCCTCCGCGACTATTTGGCCCTGGCCCATGGACGTTGGGCGCCCTCGCTGCAGCAGGTCTCTGCCAGGCGAAGAAGACGCAGAGAAGTGGTGGTCGATCCACTGGATTTTTGTAGGTTCACCAGGGGTTCAACAAAAGATCATGTAGAACTCTTGATTTTTTCTTGCCCCCCCAGACATGGATTGCAAAATTTATTCAGTCTTGAGGGGTTTCATTATGAATCAAGAGTCTACATTACATACCCTAGAATCATCGGTGATTACGTGGATGAGATGGCCCCAAAAGGAATACCATTTTCTGAATATTAAGTAGGTGGAGAACTCCACTTCCACGATGATTCGAGGGAGTGTAGGTGCAAGCACAACCAAAAAATTGTTGAAATACAATCAAACATTCCCGCATATCCGTGTTTTCTTGCATTCTTGCATCATCCTGTTGTTCCAATTAGTTATGCAACTGTTTTTTCCTTTAACTTTAAAAGACCCTCTATATACTCGTTTTCTCAGTCTGTGCTCGTCTTCAGCTGGCACATGCCGTCTTCTTCAACGGCTCACGGCTCGGCGGAGTTGTTTCTCGGCTCGCCGGACGGCACCGACCCTGGGAGGCTGAACTGTTTCGAGGACACCACCCGCGCCGGTGGTCAGGGGAGACCTTCCCGCACCCGGACCAAGTTCCGGCCTCAGCGGAGCATGCGGGAGCAGTCAGCGGTTGAGAGCGGAGAATTGGAAGGTGTCCATGCTAGCGGTGAGGAGGGTCATAGGCGCCGATTGACTCAAGCAACAAGCCATCTAGGATGTTCAAAGGCCTTTCTGGGTCAACCAGAACTATTGCATGCCTCATTTGGATGCTTCAAGAGTCGTTTCTGCAAGAAATAAATTTCCCAAGGAATTGTTTTCCTTGCCGAAACATTTGCGACTTGGCTTATTGTTTCTTGTTTACTGTGTACCGCTCTTGCTGCTACCTTACTGGTATACATCTCTTTAATAGGGCCATGTAATTGCCCACATTACACTCTGATACACTTGTTTGTCAAAGGACCATGTATCTCTTCAATAGTTTCCATCTTATTGCGGTAAAAGAGGCGGACGTCTAAACTCCCTCTCCTTTCGAGTTACAGTTCTCTTCGCCCTTCACCACGCGTACCCGGAACGAACCTCTATCCAGCTCGTCGGCGGCTCCTCGCCGGCGCCTTGGCCCGCCTTGGCTCGCCGGGATGGGATGGATGTTCCGAGGCTTCAGTCCTACCATCACTTCCTCTCATCTTCCTTCAGCCTACTACTTGCACGCATTGACACAGGCTGGATCTCCGGATGTGGGTCCATCCATGACAGACTGTCGGTCACGTGGTTAGGACAGATCAGCTGGAAGTATCCATAGATCATACGAAGAGAGGAAGCATATATGGGGCGGATATGGGCGGATTCTATATAATTACTGTAATACATACTATGTAAATACCAATACAGACACACATGAGATACTTTTTGAATTACATTGTTTTTTGTTAATCCACATAACCAAGCCCAGTTCGGGAGAGGTCAACTCCCCGGTGCTTCCATGCCTCGGTGCTTCCATGCCTCGGTGCAATACGGCGAACGATTCCGTTTGGGGAAGATAGGTAGAGGTGTGTCTGGTGTGTTTGGTGCAGGGCGGCGGCATCAGATTCGTTGCTTGGCGAATCCGGGTTCGGAGGATCAGGGTGGAGGAAGAGCATGAGACAAAGCAGGTATACCCCCAATGGATCCACATACCTTCTGAGAAGATGATAATACCTTCTGAGAAGGTTTGTGGATCCACAAGGTACCATTTAATCCCAATTCTTCCTAAATACTCGCACGCACCGAGAAATGCTCCTGAAACAACGCAAAAAGCACGCGTGTGGTCTCTACAAAGCAAAGTGGTCTCTTTTGGTCTTCTTGGTTTGCTTGGTCTCTTCCACCCATGAGCAGCTGCGACCCCTTTCTGCATACCAGTGCCCTTCCAAAAACATGGTCTCGTCTATGTGGTAGTTAGAATGTGGTCGAATGTTGTTGACCCAGCCGAAAGCAAAGACTATCACCGGTTCTGGGGTGTCAAGTGTACTCGCTTCCCATCAGACAACTGATCATCCCCAGCATGTTCACGGCCGCCACGGCGTTTTCTCGGGTAGATGTCCATCACATCACAGTTTCTCGATGGTTCGCATACAGAGGTTGAAGGACCCTATAGCCTATCCCGTAGGTACCCCACTACTTGGAAATCCAGCCAAATCTGTGCCAATCTGGCGGGGACGGCGACCGTATCCTGACTCCATGGTTCTCCCATGAGGAGAGCTGTCACCGATTTGAACAACTTCCTCAAGGGTGGTAGTCCTCCGTGAAAGGGTGATAGTCCTCCGTGACAGGGTGGTAGTCCTCCGTGACAGGGTGGTAGTCGATGGTAGTCCTCCTTGACTTGTTTTCATGTTTTCTGAAAGGACGTGATGGACGTTATATGCTTAGGATCACGGTATGACCTGCCAAAGAAGCATCGATGCCGATATGTGCAGAAAAACCGTCCGCGCTAAGAAAGGGCCTGAAGATGGCAGTTTTGTGCCTATGGCATCATCACCACATCTACAGAAAGGGTGTCTTTGGAATCCACTTCAGAGGGAACATAGGGATGTATGTCACTCACCCTGACTGTGGGGGTACTCAATGTTGCGCTCAGATCCGCACTACTCACTCCTTCCCCTCTCCAAACGGTTATGGCATCAGGTGGTATCTCACGATCTCTCGCGGAATGCATGCAGTTGACCAAAACCATGTTATAAATTCACTAAATTGTTATTCAAAAATGGCCAGATTGTCCCATTCCCTCAAGCCAAGGGGGGACATGCACGACCTCTGGCGGATTCTGCGGAGCCGAGGAAGCCATTTCGCCTTTCTGGGCCATCCCACGGTGAGCGACAGCCGCTACTCGAGTGTGGCCACCTTCGGGTCGGATCTCCAGCTTTGTCCACGGCGCCTGGGGCCGAGTTGAGCCGGTTACGGTGTAGGGCAGGGGAGCAGAGGTTCAGAGGTAGCCAGTGGTATGAGTGCAACCACGCAACTGGCGCAGTGAAACATGGACCCTTCACAAGGACCAGAAGACTTGTGGCTCCCCCTTGACCAACTGCTTGTGAATTCTCAAGCCTGACCGAAATGGATGACCATAGGAACGGATGGAAAAGGTATAGAACCAACCTGCTTGGTTACTGCAACCTTTTCGTGTTGAAACAAGCCAGCGTCCCTATATATAAAACTCCTACGAGTAGGGACTTCTCCAACATAAACATCAACAGCTGGATGCTTCGTCGGCTGAGGAATTTTATCCATCGATATCATCTTGCCTTCAAGGACTCACTACAGGCTAGAACGGAAGTTTGTCTTTTCGAGAAAAGGGCAGGAAGTTGGGGAGGGAAGTGTGAAGATGCTTCCCTCTGGAGGGAACGGTCTCAGCGACAGGGACCGCTTCGGATGATGGGCAGGGACCGCTTCGTTCCTACAACAGCGTGGCACTGAAGGACCGTGGGGTTTTGCACACAAAACATATATGACCGCTGCGACTTGCTCACTTGCTTCCTGGAGGAATCCTCCTCTTGGGAGCTGAGTCCTCATGTCCCGATAGAACCTCATCCACTATATAGGAAAACCGGATCGAGTTAGAGGTGCAATGAAATGGTGGCTTCAGCCACTTCCTGGGCCACCTCAGAGTCGTGTTTTGAAGCCTAAGCATACCTTGCACCTAAGCACTGCAAGGCCTCCAACACTAAATGGCTTTGAAGCCGCTGGCCTCCGCCCGGTGGCCTCCGGTGCGCCAGGCCTCGCATCAAGTGATCATGCCGACCCCCAAAGATCTGAATGATTGCTTGCTGCTGTTTCCGGAGACGGAGACGTTACGGCGTCTTGGCAGCATGGTCCGGTCCAGGTTTGGAAATGAACGTGTTTGTCTTTCTGTTTTTCATAGGACTTGTGAAAATACATGACCCATCTCATAGACGTTTTCATAGATCGACTTTGTTCATAGGACTTTTTCAACAGACAATGCAAATGACGGTACGTGACCCATCCATGTAGGTGCATGTAGGTCAGGTCACTCGTCCAGTCCCATGGATTTCTTCGGAGGGTTTTTTCTGGACCCCCCATTGGTCTAAGACATCTTGGGGTGCCAGTGCCATCTACTCTGAAACCACCAGTGTTCGCCCTTTGCCCATGAAGCCGCTTTTAGCGCAGCCAAGCGCGCCCAAGAGCGCTCACGCTTTAGAGGCCTTGTTTTTTTCCCGAAAAAGGAGCGATTCAGATGCACGCCCTGACTGATGCACGTCCTGGCGGCCCTCCAAAAACCGAGCTCTGAGCCAGACCACCACAGCCCGAAAAGGATCAAATATGTTTCCGCTGATGTTGGTTGTTGTTGTTGTATTGACTTCATAATGATTCTGGGACACCAAGAGCAGACCTCCCTTCCTCACCCTTCGACCAAGGACATCAAAAAGGGGCTCACCTTGCCTTTTTTGGTTGTCGAAATGCCCTCATAACGTTTGAAATGAGGGGTCCAGCCTGGCTGCACCTGTTTGTTGGATGATCCTCACCTCAGCCGAAGCACATGAAGCACTGAGGATTTGGCTGGCTGGTGAGGTGCAGCACTTCGACCGCGTCGACGCCGTTCAAAAGTGCCGGTCCGAGTTCTGGGCACTTGGAATCGTCAAAGCGGTCCAGCTTTATTGACTTTAACGTCATCATGTTTGATTAATCTATCTATAGTATCCCTAGGGCTCCAAGTACCTTCTGAGAAGGTGCTTAGGGTGGGTTTAGAGGGTCCAAATGATTTAAAACTAAAAACGGATGGATCTCTCCGCCCCTTCCCGAACGATCCCCGCTTCGTTCACGGCCTTGCTGACTAGGCCTAGTTCGGTCGACGGTGGACATGGACAGGTCTGTGATGCAGTTGATCTGTCTAGACAGTCTGACTTACTGAACACCGGTGAAGCTTCTGCTTCGCCTGACGTCGCGAAACCCATCCATCCCGAGAGCTTGCCAGGCTTCTCCCATTCACGTCTTTCGTGCAATTCCCAGGCTTCTCCCATTCACGAAAACCTCCTATCGCTTGGAGTGGACGCCGACCGAGGCTGAGGTCGTCGGTCCGTGGCTCAAGAGAGCCAAACTTTCTGTATGACCTGGACGTTGTGGATGCAGTTCGAATCGGCCAAGTGCTTTTCCAACTGGTTTGCAAATCTACAAAAGTAACGGCGTGTTCGGTATCACGTGGAGAGACCATGGTGAAACTCTTTTTTTTAAATGGATAGGATCACTGGATCACATTGATCTAAATTATGCAGTACATATTGTATATTATATGTATACAGTGTATATAATTTATAGGTTGCATATACTGTATATATGTATAATTACAATGTATATGACGTACAATCAAACTATATACTTGTAAAAAAGACACATGTATATATCATGTATATCATATATGCATTGTATACAACACATAATGCATGCATCTAATGTATATAGTGTATACAATGAGTTATACAATGATATCATGTATGCAACATATACAAAGTCTAAAATGCACACAATGTATACACTTTGTGCAAATCATGTAATAGTTTAATAGACATTATATATTGTATTTAAGCTTATGTATTCTGAGATACACAAGAAACCGAGACCATCTCGTCTTCGCATCATATCTACCCGCACGCATGTTGTTGATTTGGTTTCAGCTCTCTTCATTCTCTTCAATGAGAGCTGAGACATAACACTTCGCTGGTGCAACATGCGGGGTTCATCAGAAATACCGCGGTGGCTTTCCCTGATGTGATGGCGGTGGATTTTTGCCTCAAGAGTCATTGCCCGTTCATTTGAGCGACAGCTGAAGAGTCAAGGGTGACAATTCAGAAAGGGCAATGATGGGGGCACCCCAAACTTCATCGTTGGAAACATGTGTTCTTCAAACCATCATGGCCTCATCTGCGGTCGCACCCATGGAGCTTGGCTATTGGAAGATCAGAGGCTTGGGTGCTGTCTTCCGCATGATCCTGGAATACAAAGAGGCCAAATATGTGGAAAAACAATACTACAAGGAGGATTGGTTCCAGGGTCGCAAGCCAGAAATTTTGGCCATGAACCCCTTGGCCAACTTGCCGCACCTAGTGGATGGGGATAATTGCATTTGCCAAACAAACGCCATCCTGAACTATTTGGGTAACAAGTATGGCATGAACGGCACTACCGATGCGCAGAAGATCAGAACCCAAGAGTTGCTCTGTGAAATCTATGACGTCCGCATGAACCTCATTCACATGTTCTACCACTCCTACCGCGAGGTTCGGAGCAAGGAGGAGTTCTACGCTAAAGCACTGGCCGCGGTGGGTGGGACTACCTTTGCGAAGTTCGAACATGTTTTGGGATTCAAGGACAACCTGAGTGGTGGCAAGTGGTTTGTGCTGGCTGATGGTCCTGGTGTGGCAGATTTCCACATTTGGGAACAGCTGGATCACCACCGGATCCTCTCGAAGGGCATTGGTGGGCCCGACATCTTCGCTGAAATCCCCAGGTGTAAGGCTTTCTATGAGGCCTTCAAGGCACTGCCCAGCCTGCAGAAATACTTCGCCAGTGAGGCATACACTTCTTTCAATATTAATGGCCCCGGCTGGGCACTATGGGAAGAGGGCTCTGGCAGCTGGAATGAAGAAATCCAAGCTCTACTTGATCTGAGACCAAAGTAGATATGGTACCATCATGGTATCAAGGGCTTTGGAGCCTGAGGCAGTTTTGGTGCTTGGGAGCTAAGTAAGCTCCTCGGTTCAGGATTCAGCCGCCTGCTAGCGGCACTGCCGAGGACACAGGTTTCCACAGGCAGCCCTCACTTGTGCGATCTTGTGCTATAAAGACCTTCGCAGCCTTTGCAGCCCTGAGGATTTTCTATATGCATTTATCCATGACCCAACATTCATTCCTAATCTTGCCCAGGTAGTGGATGTATCCTGTTAGCGTTTGGGTTCATCAAGGACGAGCGTCACGTCTTCGTCTCACCCGCAGAATAACACAGCAAACAATATCACTGCATATCAATTGACATACTCTCTCTACATTGATACAAAGACGCAAGACGCTCGGCTCGGTGGTCTCTTTTCGCCGTTTTCTGCGGACTCCTCGGCCCCATGGGAGATGCCCCGACGCGACGGGCGACGAACGTCTTCGGGTGGCTGGGCGCGCGGGTCACGGTGGGAAGGTGGGTTGGGGCGAGGACAGGGCGGTGGTCTCCCATCGTGCTGGTGTGTGATTTGGAGACAGTCATGGATGTATGAATTTCAGGTGACTTTCGAAGGCCTCATGCAATCTTGGTACCTTGGAAGCAGCATCAATTTTTCAAAGTGAATTATACTTGGTCCGTTGAGTGGACGGTGAAGGAGAGTGGATGATGCTGCTTCATCATCATCTCGTTTTTCCGTCTAAATCATGCTTTTCCTGACTGGACGTTGAAGAACCCCCATCCCTGTTCAACTGTTGTCCATGTTCGCCTATACAAATGTTCAAGAGCACCATGTGTGTGTGTCACTGTGCACATGTTTATTCCAACCCCCCAAGTGTACATGGTATCACTGGAACTTGCGACTTTAGGACTGTTCTTTCATTCCATTTCAATGACACTGCAAAAAGAACCAAATCCGAACAGGGATGGCCCCCTATAAAGAACATGAACTGCTCTTGCCAACCCCAGACTCCTTCTGAAACTTTCCACTTGCCACCCTTTTACATACACTCCCCCAAAATAACATATTCCTGGCAGCACTGGGACCCTGGCAGCACTGGGGACCCCAACGAACAGCGACTCCAAACCTTCTCCAGCGACTCCTGGGCGCTGGTCTGGACACCGAATCGCCTGGCAGCACCAAGGCCTGCATGATCTCACTCGTCAGGTCAAGTCCTTAGCAGCGAAGAACTGGGCCAGTGCCTGGGCGCTGCTGCAAGAGGCCGCGGGGCCTGGGCGGCCGCGGGGCCTGGACGTTGTTCATATGTGTTTCATCGAAATGGCCACATGTCGCGACAAGGCTTTTCTTCCGGTGGGCTTTTGGGTATACATGATGATACATGACCAATTGGCAGCTGGACTACTTCGGTGACTGCCTGGTCACCTGGTTGGACCGAACCTGCACGGCCTGGCCGGGTTCGCGGGTTCGCGCAGGTGGCGAGCGGAGCCGTAGGGAACGCCACGCCTGGGCTTGGAGATGGAATTTCCTGGGCGAGGTTGATTGAATATACAGTATACAATATCACTGAGCTCGTGATTCCTCCCTTTATCACCCAGATCCGGAGTTCTCATCTCGAAAATCAGGTTGCTGCATGTCCGGACGGATCTGGATGGATTTGGAGAGTGACTAAAAGATCCAGGGTTTTCCATGACTTCAATTTGCTTTATACTTTAATTTTACTTTGCTTCATAGCTTACCCGGAATCCTCATACCAGGGTGGCAACCAGACTTCCCTACGTAGACCGCCTTTCGCCGCTGCCAGGCATGGGACTTCCGCATCCGCTTGGACGCCGTGTGCTGCAACGCGGCGCTGACCGCGCTGACCGGCCGCGAGGGGCGCTGGCGACAGGCCTTGGTGCAGGTGAAGGCGATGACGCAACAGAAGCTGCTGCCGTAGCTTGGATAGGCTGTGACAGTGGGACGATGGAGGATGGTTTGGCCATACTGGTGGTTTTATTCCGCAAAACCACACTCCTAGAAACCTAACATCTAGAAACCAAATGCACTGGTCCTTAGAACTTAGATTGCTAGATGGTTTTGCAGAGGGTACACATTTGTTAAAATCATGTTTTCCTTCCAAAGCAGAGACTACAGGCTGGTCATGTCAGTAAAAGCCCTGCGTGTCAGTGAACAACGGGTGGATCAATACCTTGAGCCCGCTGCAGTATCAGCATATAAGAACTAATATGTTGTTACTGATTACACAGTGCGACTGCACGACTAGACCCTGCTTCCAGTGGACACCCCAACAAGATGGTCATGGTTTGTTTGAAAGAATGCATGTTGCACTGCCAGGTGTTTCAAGGAGCATCAATAGACAAGAGTGGACATATCATATCCTTCAACGATCGCATGCTCTCACCCGCCCTTAAGCATTATGCAGTGACCTGAATGTTGGGGGTTGAACATGTTGCTGTGGATTAAGACACCGGTTTGCAAACCCCGGTACCCAAGTGAAACCCATCCAAGTGAAGACACACACACACATGCATCTATATATATATATACAAGTAGTTCCCGGGCAAGCCGGCGGCGGAAGTTTCCAAAAGAATAAACCTAGGGCTGGGTGTTTTTTTTTAATGCTAATGGTTTTTTTCTTATGCTCACAGCGGGGTTGGTGTGCTTTTGGGGTATGGGTTTCTTTTTTTATGCTTATAGTGCTTTTTTTTATGCTAATGGTTTTTTCTGTTATGCTTGCAGTTCTTTCTTTTATGCTCCTGGTTTCTTTTTTTATGCTAATGGTTTCTTTTTTTATGCTAAGGGTTCTTTTTTTTATGCGGCACTGTGGGAAGAGGTCACGTTGGGGGGTCCTAGTGCAGAATGTAATTGTCAGGAGGGTTTAGTGCAGAATGTAATTGTCGGGAGGCTTTAGTACAGAATGTAATTGTCGGGAGGTTTTAGTACAGAAAGTAATTTTCGAGAGGTTTTAGTACAGCAAGTAACTGTCGAGAGGTTTGAGTACAGAAAGTAATTGTCGGGAGGTTTTAGTACAGAAAGTAATTGTCGGGAGGTTTTAGTACAAAACGTAATTGTCGGGGGGCTTTAGTACCGAATGTAATCGTCGGGGAGTTTTAGTACAGAATTAAATGTCGGGGGCCTTTAGTATCGAATGTAAGCGTCGGGGTGTTACCGAATGGACAATTATTCATGAACGAACCGTTCAGTGAAAGGTGATGCATTCGTCAGCAGAAACCGAAAAGTGATGAGTTCCAGTATCAACTGGGAGTCGTCCGGAAACCCACATAATAAATTATGTAGGGAGATGTTTGCTTAGAGCAGCGCGATTGGAAAATGCTGCGTCGCGATTGGCCGGCGATTGGACGGCGATTACACATGTTGGAATGCATAGACTGGATATTATGTTAGATATCGTTGTTGTTGAAATTTGCCATGGGTGTAGTGAAGCTCAATGCATGCTTATCCGCAGCCTTTTGGCCACTTGACGGTTCACTGACTTTTAGGTTCTAATGGCTCCTGTAGCGCCTTCCAAATGTGGTGTGAAAGGCTGTCCGGGTGATGCTACTCGCTCAGCCTCGACGTGCAAGTGCGATGTGGCAGCGCACCATAAGGCGTATCTTGTGCAAGACTCGTCGGGGACAGTGACATGGGCATGGACGCCTCGTGGCCCATCTGCTTTGACCAAAGCAGGATTCACCATTCTCAAGTCAGAACCAGGTGATGCTCATGCGGGCGCAGTAGAGCCAGCACCTCGTGCAGCCGTTGCTGATGAAGTCGCCCTCCAAGTGGCTGCACCGGAACACGAAGATCCACAAACCCCCGAGCAGCCCAAGTGCTCCAGGGAGGCTTTGGGATTCAGTGAACGCAAGGTGCATGGCCGCATGAACTTCGGACCTGCCCGCCGGGTCTTGGGCCAGTGCGTGGTGTGTGAAGTAGCCCGGGACGGCAGATTTCGAGGGAAGCTTGGAGGATCCTAAAGTTGAATGGGGAGACATGTAGTCTTGGAATTGCAATGACACCACCACAACCAGCCACAGACCATTCCATAGCAATCATTATGCAGGCATTTCCTGAAATAGAGGCGCCCCAAAACCTATGGCTCACCTACCAAAATAGATTACTATGCACAGCTTTCGGGCGCCGCTATTTTGGGAAATGCCGTTGCCACCCTTAGGCACACAATCACTACCTGGGGCTACCTAAAGGTAGAAATGAGTATCCCAATTGTGAAATTGATTAAGCATTTTACATATGTGACTATAATGAACGGTCGATGTATATGGACGCGCTCCTGAGCCCACGTTCCTCTAAGGAACCTGTGCCATTTGTGTGAGCGCCATTTGCGCAAGAAAGATTGTCGCAGATATTCGCAGCTCACAGAAGCCATGAGAAAGGAGATTGCCGAGCTCTCATTGGAAGAACGGTCTGCCTTTGAAGATGCCCGCAAAGAGGTGCTCCACACACAGCGCCTTGCTAACTTAGTTGCAGATGCTGTGGCTAAAAAGCTTCACAGCATGGATGTGGACTGAACGTTTGTAAGTTGAAATGTGTACCGCTGTAGGGATAAGATTTTCACTGCTCAGCGAAATCTAGCTGACTCAGCTTCACAGATTGTGTCTGAACAGTGCTTCCAGACAAGCATCGTGGGGAGGCGATGAGGAAAAATAAGTTTGAGCATTGCGGAATGCATGAGCTGTGCATCAAGTAGGGTGCTGCAAACAATTGGGAAGCTCCAGTTTTGTTTCCAACCTGTTCTCTCTCTCTCTCTCTCTATCTCTTTCCCTCTTCTTCTCCGGGTAGCGTTTCGGCCCAAGTAAGTCCACACCTTGGACCGGGTGGATAGGTTGGAGAGTTTGACAGGAATGGCCTCGACCCCGTGCTATGAAAGCAATGACAGCTGACTTGCGGCTGTACTACAGTCTGACAGAGTGGTGCAGGTGATGCCCGTGCTATGGCATGTTTTGCGTGCGTTTGTACATATCGCGCCTACGGTGCGTGACTTGTTGAGTGTGAGACATCGCAAGCACCCTGTGGCTGGAAAAAAAGTTGTCTCCCTTGTCCTTTGTTCCCGTTGGCTCAAGCGCATAGCTTTGCATGCTTTTGTACATAGGACGTATAGTCCATTGCTTGTGTGCAGTGGTAGACACTGTGTGCCGTGATGGTAGGTGGCGCTGATGCCCCTGCTACAGCTTGGGTATGCTTGGTCTGCTTTTAAAGTACGCGCAGGACGTAGTCCGTTGACTGTACAGCGTCTACCGTGGACAGACTTGACTTTCAACTTGCCGTGGCGAAAAAATTGGAACACCTTTCCTTTCCCCCTTTGCACCTCTGCTTTTTCCACCGGATCAACTCAGACTGTGTGATATTTGTTTCGGCTCCCATCTCCGCTACATGCCATCACAGTAAGAGCAAACCAAATATGTTACAGCAGCCGCATGGAAGACATTGCGTCTCAAAGTCCTTTTTGCTTAGAAAGTTCTATTTGGCATCAAAACAGGAAAACATACGACGCCATCCGCGGTTGGACCGCGATTGGATCGCGATTGCACGGCGATTGGAACCAACCCCAGCTTGAGCAACTGTCCACCTGTCCACCCGCCGCCGCAACCCTGAGCCATGCCGTTGTCGCAATCCTTTCAAGTTTGGATTGCAGAGGGGCAGCCTGAAATTAAAAGGCCTCGGAGGGACTTGGATGTGGAGAATACCTTGACTTCGGGCCAGTGGAACAGGCTGACGACTGTGGTGCAGACTGCCACTGCTCATGCTCTAGGTAGCGAGCTGGAGGCTGCAGCTCTCAAGGTGCTAGGTGCTTCTGCAAGCAAAGACAGACGCAAGGCTTGGAAGCAAAAAGCTTGTCGGCACTTCTTTCAATGGCTACCGGAAGCCGAACAAGATGAGGTCCACCCTGCCGCTAGTGCCTTGCGCAGTGGCCTCATGGATCAGAAAGCTGCGGAAGCTTTAGGGGTTGATTGGGAGCCCCCGCCGCAGTCTGACCCTGCTGTCCCTGATGTTTGGCTTCCTTCGAAGGAGCCGCTTACAGGTGAGGATGAGGGTGACTTTCATGTAGTAAACAGATCAAAACTTGCGAAGGATATAGCAGACAGCTTGCTTGAGCAAGTAGGTAGCAGCGAAGATGTCGTTGCAGTTCTAGCCCTAGTGCGCAAAAAGATCGCGCGCAAGTTTCCCGACATCATGGACGCGTCCTCCTTAGATTGCAGCCATTGTGACAGGGTAGCTCCTGCTTTAGCAACCTTCCGTAGCCAGCTGTCCGGAAAGGATCTCCATTCCTTTGACCACACTGTGACGGTGGCCATCGATAGCAATCGCACCAGAGTGCGCAGATTGGGGATTGCCTATATCGAGAGAGAAGTGGCGCCAAGCAAAAAGTTCAGACGGAGTGATCAAGGATAGGAGAGGAAGGAAATCCAAAGCAGATGACCCAGCCATTGTCAAACGTGTGACCGACTGCATCCTTGAACACAGCCAAGAGAGCAGTGTATGGCTGAAATCGATTGGTTGCAATGCTCGACATCTAACGTCCTCACTGCTCAAGGCATATTGGGACAGCAAGTTGTGCAATGTCGTCGCATGGACTCAGTTTCACAAAATTGTGAAGACGCACTGCAAGTGGGCCAAGAAAGCGCAACGTCTGACAGACTATTGCGACTATTGCCATTTATACGAGAGTTCGATTTTGCCAGGAGCTGCCAATCTGATGCGCCGCAGCAAGGAGGCCTTGACTAGTTTGATGCCGCGCTACTTTGCATCTTACACTGCCCTGCATGAAGCCGACAAGGTCGATGAGCTGCATTCTTTGCGGACCTTCGTTGCAAATCATGGGATGAGCCATGGTCGTGAAAGGGATGCTGCATTGGGTCGAGCGGAACGTCTCCAACTACATGAGCTGGAAGCCAAAATTTGTCACACGCTTTCTT